AAAGAAAAGTGTCCTTTGTAATTTTAACTGGATGGCTGACTAGGAATTTGGATTATTTGCAATTGTCCCAGGTGAATATTGTTTCTATCCTTTCCCATGTCACACAGAGAATCTTATGGTTGCCCAATCCCTTCACCAGGGCACAGGGCAAGGGTTTGGCTTAGCCCTCTTAGTTCATTTGCTGTAGGCCAGGCTTCTATGAACACAAATCAGAGCTGTAAATACTCCAGATATGAACATGGACAAAACTGACACGTGACTATTTGCATAAACAAAAGCTGTAGTGCAGAGAGACAGTTATATGCACAACATTATTTTTCAAGGGAGCATCTTTCACTCAGCAATCTGGAATATGCTGCATCCACATCAGTAACATGCTCTTTGCTAGGGTTGCACATCAAGATTGCTACACCAGCAAAGCTGTAGCACTGCAGACTTAGCCAGGCCTATAATCTACTTTTGATCTTGGCAGTAACTTCCCACTGACTTAATTGATAGGTCTGGTTCCAGTCATGGAGTTCCCAGAGCCTAACATTTACACTCTGACCCATAATCATATTTAGAATATACACACACCTCTTCCCGCACAGAGAATAAAAAGCTGCACAGTACATCTTTCAGGAAGACTGTGAAGATTCCACTCATCCATCCCTAAAGACAGAAGTCCTTTTCAAGGTTTTTCATCATGCTGTGCAATAGCTGTTAATGATGTCAACCTCCTATAGGTATCATACGAAGAAGACCAGGGAAATAACTAGGATACAATTTCATTATCCACAAAAAAAATGTCCTTTCTTACAGCAATCCAGTTATTAAGGAAGTACTGCATGTTATGAGATATGACCAAGATATTTCTTTCATCAAACATAATGAAGCTGGAACAAACAATGTGAGACTTAACATACCTGTGACTTTTTACCTCAGGAGGCCAACACAAAGCAGAAGGTTTTACCAAGTTATTTTATTATAAAAGTGACTGATATGCATACTTAAAACACGCACTGAGGGAATGAGAGGCTGCAAAATATTAAAGTAACCCTAGACCACATTAGCATAGCCTTGATCTGCAAGAACAGTACTGGCAATAAACTTTAGCTCAGTACTGATTTTTTTGAACTTCACCACAGTTTCTTGTAATATCCTTTGTTATGTCAAATCTTAACTTCAAATGCAGTGAGCAAATTGCCCCATGTGTTTAAGTCTGGTCCTGATTTGTACAAAAGGCACATTCTATTTCTTCAAAGGTTGACTGAACAAAGTCCAACAACTGCAAACAAAGGATGCTGGTTTTGTTTCAAGTTAGCAGCTGAAGTTAAAAGATGTGATGCTTATGTTGCCTTTACTTAAAATTGTTATACCAGAGTAATCTAGAAAGCACACCATAAAAATTCCCCGGTAGGTCTGCAATAAAAATATTATTGGGGAATATTTTTAAAGGGCATCCGATTTGCCGTCACCAAAGGTGGAGGATCAGTACTCCTTCAGGTGACCAGAGTGCCTGTCCAGGGAAAATGTTCCACTTTCTATAGATCTGAGCTTCTGTCACTCAAAACAGCACAACAAATCTTGAAAGAAATGGAAAAATGAAACCTATTTCCCAGAAGGCACCGTACCAACCACTGCAGCTTTTAATAGATTTATGGCTTTATGTGTATTGTAATTCCCCTTTTGGCATCCCATATTTTTAGGGAGTTTTATTCACTTTCTCCTGGAACGGAAAGTTTTTCCTCTCATAAACCAGTCTGTTCCAGAAAACAATCATAATGGCATTTTGCTGTTGCTTGGGAAGGAGGTGACCAGAGCTCTGCAGTGCTGAGGTGCAGTCAGGGACCAGCTGTGCCATGAGCTGCCTCCCCAGGGCCTGTCCCAGAGCACTGCTGCACCTATGATATTCCAGCACAATTCCCTAGACACACATTGGGATACAAGGTCAACTATTTTAAAAAGTCAGGTTTTCAGGGGGCTTCCTTCTCTGCACCCACTAGTCTCAATGCACCCGATTTGACTGGACAAAATCCCAAACCAACTTCCTTAACAGAAGAGCACCACTCCTATTCAAAAGCCACAGTGAAAACAGGCAGCCTTGTAGGGAAGCACAGGGATATTTTACACATTAGGATACTGGCAACATTCCACAATGGCAGCTGTTACCACACCTGTAGTAACTGGGCCATGCAGTTCATTACTAGCAGCTATCACTGCAAAGCCAAGTGTTCAACACAACATTGCTTCCATGGCTTTGATTTAGTAAATCACATGCACTAAATGAATGAGGAAACATTGTCTAAATCCTCATTTCAAAGTTATTATCTAAATTATTTGTTTTCCTATTCTGTTGTATTCATTTTGATAAGCATTTAATTTCACATCAAGTGATTTTTTTCTTCCAAGTAATGGGATCATCTTCTGCCAAAAGCTTTTCTTTTTGCTTGCTTTTTTTGTTTTGTTTCATAAAATGAAATCATTGCCATGTAATCCAGACTAATAGCTTCCCTGACATTCTATCAGCAAAATACAGGGATACATGGCTCAAAATACAATACAAGTAAAATATAATAAGTCCAAACCTGCCTTCTTTAGGCCGTCATAACTCCTGATGAGCACTGGCTATATGTGATACACTCCACATCACTACTAATGGCTCTCCAAGGACTAGAGCTGTAATGATTTGCCAGTGATACAGCCTGGATATCCTTTGCTATGAAACCTCAAATATGATACACACATCCTGTAATTCCAATTAAGAACTTGACTTCATTATGTATTTCGTTCTTCTCAGAGGGAACAGGTATGAATGAAACAGGCAATGCATGAAACAAAGCCTTGAAAAAGGATATCAAAGACCTATAGCTAAATCAAAAATAATCTGGAAAATACACCAGTTCTTTGATTTAGACCAACTCTGCCTAAGTCTAAATGGAAAAGTAAAACTGGAGGAAAGGGATGCCATCCAGAGGGACCCTGACAACTGTGAGAGGTGAGCTGGTGCAAACCTCACAAAGGTCAGCAAGGCCACGTGCAAGGTCCTGCACCCGAGCCAGGGCAATCCCAAGAACAAACCCAGGCTGATTGGAGAGTGGAGTGAGAGCAGCCCTGGGGAGAAGGACCTGAGGGGTGTTGGTGGATGAGAGGCTGGATATGAGCCAATTGCAGTGTGTTTGCAGCCTAGAAAGCCAATTGTGTCCTGTGCTGCGTCACAAGAAGTGTGACCAGCAGGTTGAGGGAGGGGTTCTACCCCTATACCCCACTCCTGTGGGAGACCTGCAGTGCTGTGCCCAGCTCGGGCACCCCCAGCACAACAAGGGCATGGACCTGCTGGAGTGAGAGCAGAGCATGGGCACAAATATGATCAGAGGCTGGAGCACCTCTCCTGTGGCAACAGGCTGAGAGAGCTGGGGCTGTTCAGCCTGGAGAAGAAAAGGCTCCAAGGAGACCTTAGAGCACCCTCCAGTATCCAAAGAGGGCTACAAAGAGAGATGGAGAGGGACTTTGCATGGACAAGGGCATGGAGTGATGGTACAAGGGGGAATGGCTTTAAACTGAGAGAGGGAAGATTTAAATTAGACATTAGGGAGAAATTCTTGGCTGTGAGGGGGTGAGGCCCTGGCACAGGGTGGCTGCCCCATCCCTGGAAGTGTTCAAGGCCAGGCTGGATGGGGCTCTGAGCAGCCTGGGCTAGTGGAAGTGCCACTCCCATGGCAGGGGAGTGGAACAACATGGTCTTCAAGGGCCCTTCCATTCTGTGATTTCATGGTATATGTTTATGCATGACCTTAAACCCCCTCTTAGAGAGTGATTCTTGTAAAAACTGCCTATTGTGAAACCTCCACTTATTTTGAAATAGATTATTTTCAGAGGAGAGAAATTAGAAGACAAAATCAGGAATATACAGTTTCTTTGAAAGTTAGACCTTAGGTTATGCTAGTTGAAATATCTCAGAACTCTTCCTAAAGTTGCATTATTTCTTTAAATGTTCGTGATTTTTGCTACGGTGAAATTTTCTAAGTTTAATTTATAACGAAAATTATCACCACCTCACTGGGATCCCTAGGGACAGTTGTAAAAGCTTTTATGCAGGCTTTCTTTTTCACTAAAAAGAATTATGGAAAACTTCTTCACCCATTTCAAAATTTACATTATATATGACCTATAAAAATATAATCACATTCTCATTTCTTTATTTGAATTTCTTATTTCTGCAGCAAAAAGGAGTGGAAAATGTGACATTAAATGTTCTACTCAGCCTTTAAGTATGAGTAAATCACTTATTTGAAATTTTTGTGTTAACTTATCTCCTGACAAAATACTATCCAGAATGGACAGGCAGGGGTAACATTTTGAGGAATTTGTTTGCTGCCATTTGGAGACTGTCATTTCAGAGCAAATGGAATTCAGTTTTATCTCTTTTGCATTAACAAAAAACTGATGTATTTAAATTGTAATAACTTTTGTAGAATTTCACATGGTAATTTCACTAATCTGGAACAAAGAGACTGGAAGACATTTTTTCAATACAGAATGTGGTTGTCAGAAACACAATAACTTTTTCTAAAATAATTAAGAGGATTAAAATGGCGCTGTAGTTATATAATGAAAAAAACCCAAATTTTAATTACAAGTTGCTCTCCAAATATGCTTCTGACCTAAGATTCAAGGTCCTGAGCAAAGGTGCATCTTTAGACCTTCTATATCAAAGTGAAATTACTGTATTTATAATAAATTGTGCATTTCAGTAATTTGCCAGTAACACAAAAATTCCCACAACATATTTTGCATTCTTATTCTATTTTGCATTATGAGATTCCCAGAGCCCATTACAAGAACCATTTACATGTAATTCAGTAAGATTTTAGAAATAGTATATTGGACAAAATTGTTTAACCAGACAGAGTGCAAAATTAGACCTAACAAATATATAGTATAAAGCATTTATCCAATCCTTTGTCAAAGTTTTGGAAATGGTTTTTTTTAGTGCAACATTTTTTCATCTTTCAACTTACCTCTCTTTTTTTTTTTCTAGAGGAGGTGAAAATCCGTGAGTAATAAATTCAGACCTACCATGAATGGGCTTGATTTTCTCAGTCACCTTCAGGAAATTGCCCTAAGCCAGGGGTGTAAGTTGGAAAACATTGTCAGTGTATTGCAACCACACAAACATTTCTAGTTGCATCTAGATTTTAGAGAGTTATACCTTAGAGCTGAAAAACACTATAATTGACATTTTTAAGGAGGGCAGGGACCAAATTCTTCAATTTTAGGGTACAAACATAGTTGAGGTGCTTACCTGAGGCTGATTCCAGACCCTGCATTTTGAACTGTGTGTTCTGCACTGCCAGATGAACCGGCTGCCGGGCACGGACTGCAGAGCACATTGGACCATCTGGGAGGGAACATGACAAGAAAGGTTTCTGCCCCATAGTCTGAATTCTTCCTCTGCAGGAAATTCCAGTACCAGATGCCAAATGGAATTTGGAAATTAAGCACAAATAATAATTTTGAAGTTATAATTAGAACATAGAAGAGCAAGGAGTACATAGCAGGAGACTGAGCTATTAAATCTCCAGGGAAAAGGCAGCTGCTGCTTCTGTGCTCTTCCTAAGGGTGGTGGGAAGGCACTGCAAGCCAGCAGTGGCTGCCCTGGGTTTCATGGTTTCATGCCTCAGCACAGAGTGAAGAAACACAGGCAGATAAAGAAGAACAGGTCCATGGTACCACAGCAAGTATGGACTTAGAAAGGTTTGCATCCCACAGATGAGGCTTTCACAGTGGTGTTGCTCTTCTCCATAGTAAATGTGGTTTAGTCTGCTGACCTATTCTCCAACCAGCACAAACCTCTTAGTCACCATGAAAATTCACAAGACATGCGTGAAAGAAACTGGAGAAGTAGGTTTACACAGTAAATTTTGTATGTGTTTGTAAAGTGTGTTATGGTCAGAGACACTGCTCTGCTTGTTTCCTTCTCCTCCTTTATATCCCAAGCAAGTTACTAAAAGAGGAGTTTTACCATCGTTTTGTTTGAGTTGTGTCTGTGGCAGCTCTCTTGGTTGTTGACCTTGTTACTCCCACAGTGCTCCTCCAGTCCCTCAGCACCGCTTGCTTTCAGCCCTTTGCTCAGCTTCCTCTTCAAAGGACAGGCACTTCTCAAGCACTTTGGTGAACCACAGCTACTTAAAAGCCACAAGCACAAACTGGTCATTTGGCAAAGAATATATTATTCTTACTCAAGTGACGTAATCAGACTTTCTCAATTAGCACTTATGGATGCAGCATATGCTCAAGGGCTTGTTTGCAGTGCACTTGTCTGCAGTGAGTGTGACTCCCAGATGGAGAACTAGCTTTGTCTTAGCCATGTTGCCACCCATAAAATGTTTCCACACACAAATGAAGGAACGCAGGAAAAAAAAAAGAAAGTGGAGCTAGAGAAAACACCCTGATGGGGTTTCTTTTTAATTATATGCCTGCTTTTTTGGCCTATTCCACAATGCTGAAAATGAATACCACAGATGGAGGGTGGGTGTTAAAAGCCCATTGAATACTGAAATTTTACTAATCTGTTATAACAGGAAACATCTGTGCTAAATGCAGTATTTAAAAGCTCTTCCCATTTCAGTTGTGGAACACCAGTATTTACAGGACAATACCAAGAAATTGTTTGAATTCGTGGTCATGGTCACTTCAAATCTAATACTGACTGATTTGTTTCTGTGAATCATTTCAACTACTATGGACTTTGGAATACCAATGTACATAACCAATTATCCTATGGTTTATCCAGACATCAAAGATTTACAGTTCCAGAACTAACAGACACACAAGCATTTAAAATCTTTCTAGTAGGCTACATTCATTTCTATTTGTGTGAACAAAGTCAATAATTCTTTTACCAATTTGGAACATTTTCAGGCAATTTTTCAGAACAGATTTTTAGAAAGTTTGGAGAACATTTTAAATGCATGTTTATCCTAATTGATGCTTAAAGTATTAAGGCTTCTTCATTCCTTAAGTAAGCTAATTTTCTATCCTATAATCTTGTCTAATCTTGTAGAAATGTAGGAACTGCCACAATATATCAGATCCAAGAGTCTACCCAATTCAATATCTAAGTTCTGCTAGGATGAGCAAGAGCTGTCAGGCCCTAGAACAAGCAAAATGTTTGGGGTCGAGAATTAAGCACCTGAAACACTCTGCTCCTCCCAAATCTACTCTGTACACTTTAATCCTTTTCTTCCTCTTTCAGCTTTCTCGTCGTTTTGTTTTTCCTTTTTCATAAAGACTCCATTTCAGTGACAGCAGCTCCACAGGGATGCAGGTTTTGCTCCTGTGAGCATGTTAAGCTTTAAGAGTCATCATCAATCAGCACCTGAATGTTTATTGTCTTTCAAGTTCCTTTACTTCAGCACAATTCTCTGCCTTTTTTTTAAGTGCTTTCGTGTGTATCCTCTTCAAACGTTACCTGCAAGAAGCCCTACTTGTCTTGTCCTTGCTGCCTTCTTTATCAAGAAGAACCATCAATCAACATCTGAAACAAGTCTGCTTTCTATTTGTTGTTACAAATTCTCCCTCCTAAATACAGAGGCTAGGAAGGGAAGGGAGAGAACACTGTTGGTTTTACTATGGATTGATCTGTTTCAGATATGCTTCTCTTTGATGTGAGGGAGGTGAGCAAGCAAGGCAGCTTCAAAAAGCGTTGCTCTTGTGTTGGTTTTGCTTAAAACCATCAAGCTCAAGTCTTCAAGGGGGAGGGAGGAGGTTGGGCTGGGTCTCAGTCTGCCAATGAGCTTTGTTGCAGGTGTGGAGCTGTTCCTTACACAGACCAATGAAGGGAAATGTCCTCAGCAGGCAGGCTGGGCTTACCAAAAGCACATCTGTTCTTCACAATTACATCTATTGACACCACAGTGCTGACTGACAGAAGCTTTCCTACATGACACAGCTCTATGAGAAAGCTGCTTTAACAATGATCAATTCAATGCAAAATTTTACAGGCTGTATAGTCATCCCTGAAACAGGGCACTGAAAACAGCAAAAATCCAAAATAAAACTGAGAAAACAGGTGGATAAAAAGTCTGCACTGCACTACCCTTTCCTGTAGTGCATAACCATGCAGAAGTTCAGCCCTGACTGCTGAAGAATGGAACTAGTTGTAATGAAAGGCAGGGAGTAGGCCAGCTCCTCACCGATTTCAAGGCAGGGGTAATAGCAAGCACACAATATTCTACACATAATTGGAGAGCATGGCCAGTCCAGATGTGCTGGGATTTGTCCTCCCCTTTTATTTGGTTTGTCTAATCTGCACTTTTCTGATTTGTCAAGATTTCAGGGACATACCCCAAGAGAACACAGTGTACCCATGAGAAAGACAAACACACAAGCCAAGAAGCAGCATTCCTCTAAGGCAACTAAACAAGTAATGCATTGTTGCAAAAAGCACTAGTTAACATTGAAGTAAACAAACTAGAAAATGCCTTTTTTTAAAGTTGGAAGTAGGAGCAGATGACCCACTTATTGTACAACTATATTTATGCTTGGCAGTTGTATTTGGATTCCCTTCTTTGTTTACAGCTGTTTATTATACGAACTACTCAGTGTAGCATATTTCAAAAATTATTAAAAGGTACAAACATACAAAAATTATTAAAGGTACAAATATACAAAATGTGCTAAACTTGAAACAAAACTTAAAATTGCAAGAATGCATTGGCTAGTCCCAAATGTGTACCCAAGGAAAGTGAGATAATATTCTGGGTGATGAGTCATGAAAGAAGACTACCTTAATCAGGAGCTATGGAGCAGGAAATGCATCTCACAGGAGAAACTCCTATTTCACAAAACTATGCTCATGCAAATGAGTGGTTTTCTTTCATATCAGAAAACAAAGTCTGCTGAACAATTATTTACTTGTGAATTTAATACTGAGAAGTCTGATGGCTCAATAGCTGTTGCTGTAAAGGCAGTTTCAGACTCACGTGCAGCTGCTGTATGTTTGACATGGGCCATGAATCCACACACAAAACGCCACCTAAAACTGTCTCTTCGGAGTTATTTGATATTTAAAAATCCTAGGAAAGATAAAACGGGCAGAATAAATTCTGGATTTAAAAACTGCATTAAAAATTCAACCACATAAAAATTTTCTTGCTCTATAACCTCAGATGTATTAGCATCACCATCACATGAATCTTTTTTCAGATGCTAGTGGCTTATTATAGGAACACAGGGTGGATCCTCAGCTGGTGAAAATCATTAGAGCTGCACAGAAGCCAATATATGCTAGCTGAAGTTCTGGCCCATAAAATATCTTCTAAACCTGAAAGAACATCTTGTACTACAGTATTATTGGTCTTCAGGTGATTGAAAACCATCTTGATGAACAGTGTGGTCTCAGGGAAAAAGCAGGTCTGTATGCCTGACAAATCTCTGCCCTGTGTTCCTTTATTTAACTTGATTAGAAAGAAACATTTAAGCAAAAACTTGCATGGTACAATGCATCATTAGTCACTTGCTGCTTCTCAATAGTGAAACCATCAATTTTATTTCAGATGTGAATATGTGCAAGAGGTCTAACTATAATAGGAACATTAGCCAAGAAGCAGATGGGGATTGTGATTGAGAGTTTACCTCCTGGGTATATATTGTACAAGCAGCATCTCAGCAGAAGAGAGAAGGTTATCAAGCTCTCTTACAGTCCATGCAAACTGGATATAAACACTCCAGCATAAGCTGGAAATCGGGCTTAGGACACTGTGTGTTTAAGAAAAGACAGCATTTCATGTAAAGCAGGCAAAGCATTGGCCTCCATGCAATACTAAACAGGCATTTTATCTGTTTCACAGAAGAGCAGTTTGGATTCTGTATTTCTAAATTTAGAATGCAGATCACTACAGTTGGTATGAGTGATTTCAATGCGGGCAATGAAGTAATGTGCAAATGCTGGTTGTTATGGGAGAGAGAGTTCGCATCTACAGAATAGCTCCTTTTTTTAAATGGATCCTTTACATTTTAAGGCTTATTTTACCACAACATATTAAAATTTACATTTAAGAACTTGATTTCAGATACTTTTAAGAATCAAGGTTTTTGCAAATACCAAATTATCCACTTGCCTTATCCAGAGCATGAGTAACAAACATATTCAATTCCAAAGAATAAACTTTACACTCACTCTTGACAGTAACATCAGGACACAGTGTAGCTTGCATATTCCAGGTGTCATTTTCCTACATCAACCACACAGCTTTCGTTATAGTCCCTGAGATTTCTGTTCCCTGATTTTCCAGTGCCTGTGTTTATTCAGCTGCTGTAAATTTTGTCACTGCCAGTGACTGCAGCAGAGCAGTCTTACAGTTCATATGGCCCCAGCAGACCAGCAGGCAACTATTAGTGTCTCAGATAGATCCAGTTTCACTCAGCATTGTCCATGATTGACTAATAAGAAGAGCCAGAGCATCCTCTTTTTTCCCGAGGATTCTCTCTTTTCCGCAGTGATTTCCGCCCAGAATATTGCGGCTCCATTCCCTGCACCTCATGCAGATCCAAATGTGGCTGGAAAGAAGCCATTTGGGTTTGTGATGCAACGTGCTGCCAGGAACTCTGAGTAGCTACTGCACAGTCCCTTCTGGTAAATACCTGTCTCCGCTCTTTCCATTCTCATAATGTGCCAAAGCCTCTTTCTTGTTATACTTTTTACATCAAGAACTAATTCCTAAAACAATTTAGGTTACATATTCATAGGATTTTATATATGCAATAACAATACAAACAGCAATTAACCCATCTGAGAGAACAGATCAAGCAAAGTAGTTATCAAGTGACCAGATAAACAAGTTGAAAACAGCAAAGGTTCTAATTTCAATATTTGGATTCACAGGAAAATTATTTATCGGGAGTTTCCTACCTCTAATGTTCATTACATTGCAGGAGACCCATTCTTTTCTTTATGAGTAGATAATAAAGGCAATTGGATTTACTCATGTAAATCAAATGGAGAAGAAAAGAAAACCCAACCCCACACTCCAAAAACACATTGTGTGACAATGCTGTAGAGGCCATTGGGAGCAGCTCCTTCCTCTGGAACACCATCACATCTGCTCTCTGCAGACTAATGTGCCATAACATGCAATTTTGTGCTACATAAACTCATCCTGAATATGCTCTGTGAAACCTCTCGTTCAAATGCTGTACAATTATTCCCACAACACTGCTTAGGGCCGTCACCATTATTGGTGATATTTTGTGAACACTGAAAAGACAAATAAATATTGGCCATGGCTGATGCAGAATTGCCAAATGAAGTGAAAACCTGCCAAAAGAAGGCAGGTTCCTCCTCCTTCTTTTCCCAGTTTTCCTCTTACCACTTTAAGCAATCCTTCATTAGACATTCATAATGTCATTCTGGTTTCCTACACAGCTGCTATAGTAGGAAGTAAATCCAATTCCTATAGTGATTCCTATAGTCTTTATTTTCAGGCAATCTCTTCACAAAGATCCAACAGCCTGTTCTGTCCCTAACAGATCTACCACCTTGTTTCAGAACAATTCCTGTCTGCAGAAAATAGAGCTTGCAATCTTTCTCCCCCAAATGGTCTTGATTATTGTGGCTATATCACCATTCAACCTGTCACTCAGATCTGTCATCTTCACATCTTCTTCAGCTAACGTTTTTCTAAGTTCACTGCAAGGCTGTGCTAAATCACACCAGTAATTTCTACTAGTGTTAACTTTGCTAAAATACAGCATTCCCTGTTCATCATCACAGCCTAAATTCTTGTCTTCTCTTGTTCTTTCTTCTTGTCCAAGTTCTATCTCCTGTCTTCTCTTCTTACTCACTGAAAACGCTGCTGCGAAGAGTATTTATCATTTATCAAGGGTAATTTTGATCCTATCACCTCATTTTCCGTATTTCCTCTCTTTTTAATGTACTTTCAGACACACACTGATCAATCAGTCTCGACAATGCTTCAGGTGTTTGTGTGCCAAGATCACTGCCAGCTCTGGTGACTGGTGTGACCTTAGAGATTGCTTGTAGGGGTTTCTAGCTGTCTGCTGTATCCTAGACTCAAAGCTCCATGGAGTGAGCAAGGAAAGGGAGTGATCTGCACTTTTCTGCCTTATTCATGGCTACATCATAATTGGCACTTCATTCCTTTAAAATGTGCTAAAGTATGTCTGAAGAACTGATGTGGGAAAACTAGGATGCTCCAGACTGATGCTAAGCTGGCCCAGAGGACACCATTGTGTCCTGTTCATGTGTGAGATCCAACTTAGTGTAATACTTGCTGCCTATCCAAGAGTAATTTTGGTCCCCTCACACTTTGCACTACACCTCTATTCCTTGTTGTATAAACACACAACACTGCCATTAAAATTCTGCTCTGATTTCCAGTACAAACCACACAGTATTAGTGGAAACCTTTTCTCTGAACTGACTCCTACATTCACTACATGCATTTTCTTATGATTCTTTTGCTGAAAGTGGAGAGAGGCATTGGTTAATTGTGCTTTATCAGTAAATTTTGTATGTGTTAAAGTATGTTCACTTAATTTGAAACACTTGACGATTATCCAAAATCTGATACCAATTTTACTAATGAAATAAGAAAAGTGTTTCATATACATAAAATTTGGATGCTTCCCTTGCTGGGATTTGTCTATGTTAATGAAATATTTAGATTAACCTTCAGCTCTTACCATTATTTTACAATGTGTTCAGACTGAGCTGTTGACCAACTGAATTTGAGCTGGCTACCCATGGCCTTTACCAGCATTTCACAGAACTCATGCCCTCAAGTCCCTGTGCTCAGAGCTGAGCACTGCTGAGCAAGGCAGGAGGATGCAGTTCCAAATTATTTCTGCCACAGGTGGCATAACATGAAAATGAAGAGACTGAAAACAGGCAAATTCCATTTTCACTTCCATAAAAGGAAAATCTGGGGTAGGGGACAGGAGAGTTCGGGGTTAATGATTAATGGGCAAAGAATTTCTTGCAAAGCACTGCTAATTCTTTCATTTTCCCATCTCTTGGCAGAATTTAGCAGAACTCTCATTCAGAGAAAGAAAAAATGAAAAGTTGGCAACTTCTTTCATTTTTGTTGCTTTCTTGTGTCATCGTCTCAGCAAATACATATGGAGGAAAGAAAAAAGGTAATATACTCTCAAATATAAATAATGATCATGAACCTTTTTTTAAATGTTTATGCTATAAAAATGTAGTAGTATTGACCGACTGATCATCAGCATGTTGTGTTTGGGTGCTATGTTCCCTTAAACTATGGCATTTATAACTGTCTGTGTTTGTTGGAAAATGCAGTTGTTTGTAATTACAACAAACATTTCTCAGTAGAAATCCATACATTTGAGACTACAGACTTATGGTACTGTGACCCTTAACGAACTTCTGATGAAGCTAATTTTGAAATTTATTAGTTTGAAAATATGCACTGGAGTGATATTGTTATAATCCTCTTGGGCTGGAAGTATTCTATACAACAGATTCAGTCTCCTGCTATGAATCAACATTTCTAGCTATCTGAGAGTGTTTAAGCTTTTATTTTCTGAGTTGCCTTTCATCTCAAGTGGGATGAATATCTTGGAGTGAAAGAGATACATCTGCAGCATGTTTTGTAGAGCAGCACTGTGAAGGATCTTTGTCACTGGTTGTACACCCATTTCCTATGCATTTGTGTTACTGCACATTGTGTCAGTATCTGGGGGACTCTTGAGTAAGTGCATCACAAAACTGCATTTCTTAAAACCTCTCAGATGTGATTGACAAAGACAATTCCATGTTTGGCTTCATCATTGAGCCATACAGAGCAAGAATGAGTTTTCCTTCTTATTTAACTGCATTTCTAATAGTCTAAGTCTGAAGAGGATAAATGTAGTTTTCTCTTCAGCTGGAAATATAGCAAGATATGCACATTCACAGAAGTATGGCCTCTTTCAGTAGCTGTGTTTTGTATTTATGTTAATTTGTATTAACAGTTTTAGAAACCATTTGCTATAAAAACGCTTTATATGCAATAGGCACAGTGATTTCAATCTAGAGGAGGCAGGACCACCTTTCTTTGATTCTGCACATTAAAATTCCCCTTGGGTTTCATTTTGAACAATATAAAATCCTTGAATTAAAACACTATGAGAACTTAAACTGCAATTAATGCCATAACTTGGCCTGGTTTACCAGACAGCGAGATCTGCATATCCTTAACAGTTGCTGAACCTTAGAAAGCTGTTTAGAAACCATGATCAAATTCTGTATTTTTGAGAGAACCAAAAATTAGAGCACTAACTTTAATTTGAGGTATCTCACATAATCTTTGCCCAGATCTATCCAGATTCCACTGCGTGGTTAAAGTTTAGTTCACCATAAATACAAACAGCAGGTGGAGAGAGGCAATCATTGCACCCCTGTTCTTTTACAGCCACAGGTCTTGCCTTATGCAGCTCCATTCCCCTACCCCACTGTCTGTGGCACTGTTTATAGCAAGGCCAGTTGCTTCACTCTCTCCACCTCCCTTTCCCCTCATGACCTAGGACTCCTATATCAATGGACTTCACTTGTTTGCTTATTGCTTCTGCAGTTTAAAACCTCACTTGGGACAAACCACAAGTGACATGTCATACCGACACCAGCAGATATGCCCAGTTCGTAGTATGCTGAGGCAAGAGACTGATTGCAGAAGTAGAGCAGGTTCTTTTCTAAAAATGCAAGAAAACTCAACTGTATTTTCTTGTAGAGGTTATCCACAGCCCAACTAGATGTGCTACAGAAGGTAGTTACAATGTTAAAGGACCTGGTTTTCCATTATGCTGAACCTGGACCCTCATCTGTCAATTTTAAATCAGTCCAGCTCTAATTCCAACTATCATTTGCATTAATGTATATTTCTGCATCTTTCACTCCCTTCTTATCCTTCTCCAATCCAACCTCAGCCACACCAACCTTGTCCAGAAGATAGTGGAACTCTCAGTTCCCAAACTTGCCTTGTTTCTGTGGCCATTTGATTTGCCAGCACAGCTCTGCTGGTTCTGTGTGTCCTTAATCAGCTCTGGTGTGTTGGCCACACTCAGTAACCTCAGGGAGTCTTTTTCTTCATTTCAATTCCCAAGGAGGCAAATTCTCCTCCCACAATGGCATATGCAAATGACAATAAGGCATTATCTCTCACTAAGGAAGGGCAGCAAAGATTTTAGTTCTACATAAGAGCCCTTTAAATGCTGTCAAGTGGAGACAGCTTTCAATGAGCATTGGATTTATTTTACCTGGATATCCTCGCACCTTGGAGCTCCCTTGTTCTTGCTTTAGCAGGAACTGCAGCAATGAACAGTACAACTAAAAGGATCTGCAAAGCCTTCTCAAAGATGAATGTCTGGTATGTCATTCTAGCACAAACAATGGCCTGTAAGGGAACCATGCTCTGAAAGAACAATCACTGTGTAAAAGTCCCACTCATTCATTGGTAGCCAGAAAATAATCAACTCTTTTTTTTCTCTATCATTTTATCCACCTGCACAGTAAAAGAAACTACATTACAAAATCAGAATTTATAGGAAATAGACTGCAGTGGGTAAATCAATTTAGATAAGTGCATGTAAATAATCTTTATCAAGTGATATAAAATATACATACTATAGGTTCTTATTTTATACTTAATTATGTAGAACAAGATTTGCATTACCAAGCAAAAACAACACCCCATTTAAAACACACACAGGGTTATTCTTAAAAAAACACAGAGTGTTTCTGAAATATCATGGTTTTCTTGTACAATTATATAGCAGGAAAGAAGTTTGTAATTTTTGGCAAATGTTCATTATCTAAAAGCAGCATCCCGGAACCAGAAATAAGCACCTAAAAATAACATCCCTGAAGTTAAGCCAAGATGATTCTTTCTAAAAGCATGTGAAAAATGCTTCAACATAAGCTCCTATTTATTTTGATTCTTCTTCTGTAAACATAAAACTAGGTGAGAATATATTCCATTATTGCACTTGGTTGTGCAGAGCAGAGCTGTGCAGTGGCTGCCATGGGAATGCTGCTGTTGAGCCAGCACTTCTTACCTGACAGTCTCACAGCTGGCAGCTGAGCTGGAGGTTTTTTTTGCCCGAAAGAGAAAGGTAACATCTTAATTGTCATCCATGTTTTAAGTATTACAGTGCTAACATCTTAGTAATATAACATAGACCACAGGAATGGATTATAGAGAAACCTGAATAGCTGTTACATTTTCTTTATTCCCTAAGAGTATTACAGAGATATAAAAGGTGTGTGTGGTACATCAAATCCTCCAAAGCCTAGATAAAATTCCTCAATAAAATGCAGTGGATGGAGTATACACTATCAGATCTGAAAAACTACCAAAATAACAATTTCTACATGATGCTGAAAAACTATGAGAAAGGCAATAAACACAGAAGATTCAAATGCCATTTAAACTGCAGAGAAAGAGAGCTAAAGTCTGCTAAGATGATGACATGGTTACCTTTGACATGGAAGGTAAATATCACTTTTACTGTCTAACAGTTCTTTAAAGTCTACCCTAAATGTAAAAATGTAGAGAAGACCTTCCTTTCAATTCCTTGAAGCATATTCAGTGTAATAATAACCTGTGTCTTAAATTTTCATTAATTCTGTGTGATTCAGGTTTATATTAAATGACAGAAGAACACAGACTACAGCCAACAAGGCCACAGGATATCAGCAATCCCAGCCTACTTCCAGTTTGAGAGAAAGTGCTATGAAATTAAATTGGTTCCAAAAATTACTGAAAAAAAATATTCTTTTTCTCTCCCTCTTCTTCATATGCAGAAATATATCATGGTTACAACCCATAGAAACAAGACTAAAAACAGTTAATAATTCTCATTTACTGCACTGGAGTTTGTGCATCACCTCTGAAGCTGAAATTCATGTCACCTCTAGTTAGGTCATTTAAACAGGGATTCAGGAGCTAAATTTCATGATGTACCAAAATATTGGTCCAAGAAGTCTTGAAATTTGGAAGTCCAGATGTCAGGGTACTCACCAGTTACACTAATGATCTGATATCTAATATATGATATTAATAGAAGTTCTACAGAAGTATTTGCTGTCATCTTCTGAGTGGCTGTGTTTCAGATATGCTGTATCTGTACACAGCTTTTGCAATGCTCTCAGGAGTCTTAGAATTCTACCAAAATTTCTATAATCTAAACCAGTTATTGTTCCTTTTGGCACCTGGAAAAATCTACAAATATAATTTCAGCCATTGATTTTCACTACAGAGTCCAAAATACAACTGTAGTCTAACTAACAGAAGGCCCTTTGCTTTTCCCATGACAAGAGACAATAATGGGAATTTGACTGACAAAGGAACTATCCATGCACAAAACAAGTTTCAATCTTTCTACTAATGCAAGTGACTGAACATCTTAATGAGGAGTTTAAATTCACCAGAGGATTGTAATTCATATGACTTAGGCATTACATTCTTCTGACCACTGCTGTATGAACAGTGGTTGAACTCATGTGACACTTGAAAAACTTGACCGTAGAGAACTGTTCTTGGTAAGGTGGCATTGCAATCTAAGTGCTTTACTTATTTTCTTTCCTTTCCTCTCCAACAAGAGAAGGTTATGGTTAGTTTCAAACATATATATATATATAGTTCTAATGGAAAATAAGTACCAATAAAAACATTCATTATTAAAGAGAACATTTTTCTTTTCTGCCTATTTTGTATTTCACTCATATTACACATTTCATTTTGGAAAACATAGTTAAGCCCAATCCATGTGGAGCTGCAGGGTTATTAATAGAGTTGCATCGACAGCAGTACAATAGTGATGATGTAGCTCATAACACCATATGGTCCCCTTGGGTGGCCTTAGCACAGTGACCTTTTTTCCTATATGTTATCTAGAGCTTAGAGACTCTTTGCTGAAGATAAGTCAGGCTCCTTATACAGTGGAATAACTTGGCAGCAGGTGGATGGGCCAGCAGCCACTTCCAAGCAGCATGATTAATATTTCCTGGCAATATAAGCAATAACTGGCAAAAGAGACAGAAGGGGCCATCTATCTGCACATGCCAGGACTGGGTGATAAAGTTCACTGCTTTGGCAAGAGGCCAAATGTGAAATACAATTCTTGTATTCAACTGT